GCAGATAGCCCTCGTGTAGCTTTGCGCGAAATCTATGACAAACAAACAGTTCAAATTTAGGCATAGCTGCCGCAAGTAGCCCTTGTGTACAGCTTTGCGTGAATATCGAAAAGAAACACTTCCATATCATGTTTTTAGTAATATTACAACAGTATAAATCATTTATTTTTATTTCTTGCCGATGCTGTTATCGTTCTGTTGTAATTAACATAGATAGTTTTGAACCACCTACTGGTTGCATGTGTTATGTTGACCATTGTGAATGTGAGTCTTGCTTGTAGCGCACGTGAGAGAAATTTCAACACTAACAAGAATCTTATTATGACATTATGGTTACCCTAGACTTATACTAACAAAGAGGAAAACTTGACTCTTTACTTATTACAATTGAAAAATGCGATAGCCTTAGTAGTTTTGTCATAAATACAAAAAGCAAATACAGTAATCGGAAAGCGTAGAATAAAGAAGGCATTTCGATGGTTGCTTGGATGTATACGCTAGATCCCAGTATTAATTAGCGCTTTTACTACATCTATAACTGTTACAAAGCCGAACCTACTGGATCAAAAAAAAAAAAAAGACGAGAGGATGACTGAAGCATTTGTTTTGTAGAAAAGTTTATGTAAACTATTATAGAAGAACGGAAAAGTATGCGAAAGAAGAGCATCAATGAAAACAAAACAGGGGATCACGTATAAAGTGTAATAAACTTAAAATAACTTTGTTCTCCTGAAGAAGAATAGTGAACTATTCGAAAGCACTCGGGTTTTTGGTCTTATTTTAAGTTTATTACACTTTATATGTGATCCTTTGTGCTAATTCTTTTATCAAGAACAAAACAAAGGAATAAACCCTGTAGACGATAATTTGACTTGTTAGAAATTGATTTAAACTTCATCTATTTCATCGAACGACCTCCATACTGTTTGAAGAAAGAGAGAGCATATTTAAGAAGTCAATCCTATGATATCGAACTATTCAAAAATTATTGATGAAGCAAAAAATGATCAGAAAATAGATTAAGAAGACAAACTCGTGATGGTAGAACGTGTCCAACTATCAAGAAAATACAGATGGAGAAACAAGATGGGAATGCTAAACATATAATAAACGGTGTTTCTATTGGCTTGACAAATGCTCAGGATCTGTAACTTTAATAAGTAGGAGTGAATATTTACAGTCAAGGAATTACTTTTTGATAATAAAACTAAACACAAGAACATAATCATTACATGTAAAGGCTTGGCATGGATGCTGGTTAGGGCGCTCAACTCGCAATGTGCAAATCGCGGGATCGAAACCAGTTGTCGAAACTTCTCGCCTTTAGTGTAGTGTAGTGGCATCCGTGATACCCAATGCAGTCAACATATGATACTGCTTGGAGTAAGGAGTGGCTTCTTATAACTATTCTAACGTCATATCTATCCTACAATTATATCGTGGATCATTATCTACATTTCTACTTACAGCACGAAGAGTTCACTCTGTTGGTTTTGGAGCACAAGGGGCATGTGAAGATTTTTTTCTGGTGTGACTACATTGTTACTCTCTTCACTATGAGCAGTGGCATTCCAAGTGACCTGACAATTTCTAGCTGAGTTTAATTGCCATCCCATAGTCAAACTATATAACGTCGTTAAAATAAGGTTAATCCCTAGGATTCTCGTTTATTTTATGACTATTTGTAATCTGTCGTCTCTGCATACTTCTGTTTATACGTGTGTTTTTTTCTTTTTGTGTACGACGTCACGGAGATTGTCATTTTGTATTCTCGGGGCGTCTATTTATTTATTGATAGGGCGTATGTTGTTAATTTTCCTCGTCTTCGTGATATTTAAAGACATTTCAACACTAAAGAATGAAAAAATATCACTTTAGGTGATACAGCAATAAGGTGTAACAGTTTACAAAATTACATTGAATTCCCTTCTGAATTTATTCCATTTTTGTTTCGTGAGTATGATATCCTGAAATTCATTGTTTTTTTTTCTCGATGAAAACGGGTAGGATCCATAAAACAAGAAATTCATCTTGTACTATATCCCAGAGTAAAGGTTATACTTTCTCCAACTCTGTTTGATTATGAACACAAAACTGTACAAATCAATAATATTTATTTACAAAACACAAACAAAGTTAGTTAAACACCGGCAAGTGTTTCATGTGCTGTGAAGAAGTGGAGAGAGAGACCTTTGATAAATCTCCCTGATCAGTTCTAACTTATAGGTAAGCTAAAAGTTAAAACTCGAAGAAATAATTGAAAAATATCATACAAAATAAGTAGTCTTTATTCTACACAAGTCTTCATCTCGAACAAGAGCTTTTTAGCAAAATCTGAAAAAGAAAAATATAGGAATATATACAACACACACCCCTTTCTATAGGCCCACGCGCTATCCACGTGACTGAGGGCCACTCTCAAGTCAACACTGGGGGAGGGGTGTCAAGCCCTCAGGACTCCAACCTGTTTACCACGAGAAGCGATCACTGCCGTTATAATGTTTCATTCTGCAGTAATCTTTCGTTATTGAAAGACTGTGACGTCTTTAGGGACTCACTCACCTTGTTCTGTAAATAACTAAAGCGAGAGAAACTTAGTGGTTCTCTTCTGATCGACGTTCTTTACTAAAACCAATACAAAGTATATTTAACTTTGAAAAATTTATTTAGTAACGAAGGAGGCAGAATACTTATGGTAGCTTTACTTACTTTATAACGCGTATGGATTCTTTAATTTTGCTGAAGCTAAAGTAGAACTTTGAAACTTAGTAATTTGTATTGTATTGTTTATGTTTTATTATCCTGTAACAATTGAAATGATTTAATATGTAAGACACTAGTGAAAAATGATTAAAACCTGTATAACCCGAGCGCTTTAGAAAGGTGGACCTTTCTTCTTCGGGGGTAATTTCCCAGTTTACTCCTGAAGAAGAAAGGTTCACCTTTCGAAAGCGCTCGGATTATAGGGTTTTTATCGTTTTAAATGAAGACTTTTTGAACCTACTTATTTTTCTTACATCATGAATGTAAGACACTAGTAAATTCGAATAACTGGTATATTTTATTTTATACAGGAGTATTTAAAGATTCAAAAGTTTCACTATATTGATGGTAAACAATTTTGCAGCTTTGTGGAGTATTTGATATAATGCAATTTACGTCACTGCTCACGTGGAATAACGACTTTAAAAATTACCCATTGGATAGACTGTTATTACTTTTCACTTATTATCATTGTATACATAAGACAAGAAAGTTGGGCTGATGGAAACGAGTAGATGTTGGGAAGGTACATTAATGCATATTTTGAAGCTAATTGTTTTGTTCGAAAGAGGTTTCAGAATGTTCTAACATTCAAAAGCTTTGCTTATCGCTATTATGAACGGTAGAGTGAAAATGATTACGAAACTTCAATAAACATCTCGGTATATTGCAGGGGAGTTGTGCCCATTACGCGGATTTATGCCGCTAGAATCCAGGTTTCGATACTCGTGGTGGGCAGAGCACAGATAGCCCTTTGTGTAGTTTTGTGCTTAATAACAAACACCAACACTCATCAAAAGACAAACATGTTATTGTTGAGAAACTCCAATCTTCATAATGAAATCAAAATAATTATGTATGTTTTTAAAGATACCTATGAATATATTATTTAGGATTTCCTGTGGCGTTATTTAACCTGGCTTTAAAATACTAAAATTCTCAGATTGTTGTTATAAAATTCTCGGATTGTTTTTTGTTTTTCGGTAGTCCATGATGAAGTTTATTGTTCTACTAAAACATGTTGAATCACCAAAAAAATAACAAGCAATAAAACAGTCATTAAAGGGGTGAAACCTTGACTTAAGTTTTTAAATACTAGAAACAACTTGAATACTTAGAATGTAATAGATCATATCGTTACTTTTATGCACTAAATCTTTTACGATATTAAGCTACTTTTTATAGATGGTAATTATGCGTACATTGGTGTGGAATTTTCGAAACGTTATGAGTAAAATTCTGCGCACGTACGATGGTGAGCGAGAATGTTTTGATAGATGAATACGTTAAAATGGTACAATTAACCAAAAATAAAGCCTAATTTGTTTTAACTGATCACGTGAAATTATTATGCAAGTATTAATTATTCTGGATCATTTACATAAGCATGAATGTATAGGTGTATTCTGTTTACACGCCTACTGTCTATGATAGCAGCTATATAATAGACCGAACTTCACAACAACAAGACTGAACTTTAACTTTTGCTAGAGCCATTATTTAAAGATTGTATGTTTCATTACTGCGGATGAGTATTATATGAGTAAGGCCGTTCACTTTGATAATATGAATGAAAGCTCACTAAATGTTTCATTACAAATTTCATGAACCCTCTGTATAGTAATTCTCAACTGTACTTATGTTTACTTGATTTCCGAACTCCTCCCACGATGTTTGAAAAACTGCTTCGAATCTTGTATATCGGCTCTTGACCCCCCCCCACAGGTTATAAATGAAGGGAAAAGAGTCGTGAGGGGGGGGTCCCAAAAATGCAGAATCAAGAGGTTTGGGTCTTTCAAGTTTGTCTAAACTAGTTTACTTTAAAATGTATGTTAACGTGTAAGGAGCCATTGGAAATAATAATTGGAATTTAGATGTTTGAAATTTTAATATTATAATCTTGAAATGGACGATCAATGAATGTAGGGGAGGCTCTCATAACTGAATCCACGGATGTACATGCAAATTATAAATGGGTATTTATAACACGTAGTTACTATCTTTTAGATACTAGAAATGAATTAAATTTAGCCTTTTATTTGGGGGCAAAATAATTTTAGCGGTTTTCAGAGTTAGCAAGTTGGAAGTTTACATTAATGTGTTTCCCGCCAATTTTGAAGTACTTTCTAGTACTTATGTTTTTGTCCGGGTTCGATTCCCCGCCACGGACAGAGGATAGATGGGCAATTATGTAGCTTTACACTAAGTGCAAAAAAACAAAACAATCATCTAGCTGTTGACTAGCTGCCTTCTCTCTAGTCTATCTATTGCGGTTGACCTTGTGTGTATATATTATAAAGAGTTCCAAATTCCCTTTGCCGATAAATTCCCGCCACTAATGAGTACCATTAGTGGTTGTTTCCTACGAATAACAGCCGAGTGTCATCCGTTTCTGTTTAATTTTAATCGTTCTGCCATATCACAAATATTTCTTAGTATTCGCTTGCTTAAACATTAGCTAGCTTAAGTTTTGCTTTCTGTAAAACTGCATGAAGATGGGTAGTTTAGTATATGTATTTCGACACATCAGCACAGTATGTTAAGTCATCAATTCAGTATTCACAGTTTGAAAGTAAACGTAATTAGTTGTTCTCATATTCATGCTGAGCTCATTTGGAAATTGTGTATTTATTTATTTTTTCAGGTGTCTTTATGAGACGACATTCTGTTGATCCAGACAGAAGAAGAGGATCGGTGGGTCGAAGGTCACTGGATGGTTGTGATCACCACACCATTTTGATACGCCGGACTGACTCTCGTGGAGTAAGTAAATACCCAGTTGAGTTCTTTTAAATGGTTTATAAAGCTATTGGAGAGAAAGAGAGACAGAAACAAATCTTTTTAGTCAAGCAACTTTCAGTAGTTTGGATTTTGGCCAAAACTATTTTGGTTTTGACAGTTTTGTTGAACCATTTGTTTGTTTAACTTTCATCTTATTATTCAGAAGTACAGTTTGGCAGAAGAGTAAAACGTCTATTTATATATTATCCATTCAGTTGTATAAATTTATTTTAATAAAATACGAACAGTCTGGATTGGGCGCAGCTTAATGGTTAGCGTGCCGGGGTGCGTTTTATAGGATCCAAAGTTCGAGACGTGGGACCACTGAACGCAGTTCACACTTTCAGTTGTAAAAGTGAAAACCAGTCCCTTATTTGGTTCAAAGAGCTGGACAAAGCCCTTATTTCTACAGTTATCGCTGACTACTCTCCCTCTAGCCAGTAGCTGAAAATTAAGAACGGTCATATCTAAATCCCAAGTGGTCCTAATCTGGCCATTTCGGCCATATGGGTATAGTCTAATTCGGGTTAAAAATTCCAACTCTATACAGGGGCATTCGCAAAGAGAGCAAGTAGGGGCTTCCCCCATTAACTCTTTGCATACGGACTCGGTCACTTTGATGAGTATAATTGTTTGTTTTTTTGCCATTGACTAAAACCCTTATTAATTTGATGATACATTTTTGTTCGCATACTTTATTGTCGTGGAGAGGAAATTTGTCCTCACGAAATACGTTTAAAGAGAAGAATTTTAATTATTAGTAGTAAAACGCCCTCTCGTTGTTTAGAATGGTGTTATTTAGGTACGGAAGGTTTAGAGGCTACTATAACTAATCAAGCTTTACTACAAAAGTAGCACAACATACTCACGGTATAATCTTAAATATAGTAACAATGTGATTACGACTGATTATTTTACTACAAACCGACTTGTGCCAATTGAATTCAGTACTGCACGAAGTAAAAGCTTTTAACATAAACTTCTTCTGTTGCGAAAGGTAAATTACCATATATGTTATTTTCGCAAATGCTAGTCGGTGAGAAGACAGCAAACAATGCATAAAATTGTAGATGCTTTGGGGTGCTGTTTCCAGAATTTCATTGAAATTCTTCATAAAGTAACACTATTTCAGTACATTCAGCATTAGTGTACTGTACAATATTTTGTGGATATGCTTCTCTCAGTGTGTATAGAAACGTTGAAAAAGTTCCAGAACCAGTAAAGGAAAGTTGGTAGAAGTTGGTTTGCATAAATTTGCGTAATATTATAACACTCCTTGTATTAAAGTGAAATCTTTTCAGTTTAAAACATTATGCACATTTTTGTAAGTCCCATAAAGAAAACAACATTTCGTGGGTGATATCACAACTTTCGTATTGATAACACGTTTTATTTCAAACTGATAGATTAAGAGATAACATTTAATTGACCTTGATTTCACCTTTATATTACAAAATCATGTCAGGTATCAAATTAAATTATTCTCACTATACCTAGACACCCTATGACAGCAGAATTTTGGCATTCTACACCTTCACAAAAATAGAGAATAATCTGGACTTTTGACTCACCCTGTAGTTACATCTTTTATTTGTTTGCTTATTGTTAAGCATAAATCTTTACAATTGGCTATCTGTTCTCTACCCACTGCGAGTAATCGAAACCTAAATTTTTAGCATTATAAATTCTCATTTTTACTGCTAAGCAACTGGGGGGAGAGCATATAATTCATTATTAAGGAATTTTAAGTATTTTTTTGTTTTATACAGTGTTTTAAGTTCAGAATTTGTACACATGAATTTGTCTGTGAGTTCTTTCTAATTCATGGGAAATTTTAGATGTTTTGTTATCTTCTGAAAGCTTTCTCTTGTTTAGCTTTCAAGTGATCCACTTTATGACAAAATAGATATAGAAGACTTGGGTAAGTTTTTGAAGCATATTTTTTTATATTTAAATATCTCTTGTTAATACTTTTATTATATTACCATCTGCCATTAGTAAACAGTTTATATTTTAATATTTTGTTAAACAAGACCGATGTCTGTAGGTTTTACTTTCTTCTTAGAATTCTTCTCAAGAAGTCGATAAG